GAGGGTCACAGGACATCTCAAATTCAGTTCAACTCACCCGGCATGTACTAAGCACTTGCTCTATGTCATTAACTTATAACCCTGAGTTCAGAAAACAGTACAAGCCCAGCCCCTGACTTTAAGGAATTAGCTATCTGTTAGAGCCACGAGACAAATACATACAAAGCAGTATGAACAATAGAAAAGTAAATGATTATGTTCAAAATGAGAGATGCAAGTAAACAACACCACCCAGATCTCAGTTGCTGAGCGGAACAAAGGTCACTGCAGACCGAGGAAGGCTTTCTGAAGGAGGCAGCACAGGAGCTGGAGCTCAGAGGCTGGGAAGGACTGGAGGCAGTCTGACAGGATGGAGTAGTAGGGAGCAGAGACGAGAAAGAATGAAGGCAGGAACACCAGACAGAGGTCTCCAGAAAATCAGTGTCCATAACAGTTACTGTGTAAACAGGTCTCCACCTGTAGACAAACCCATTTCCACGGGTGTAAGACTTGACAATGACAGCAAACACTGCTGGTTCTGCACTCTGGGCACCTGTCCTACAGAAATGCTCGCATATGGTGAGCACACAAATGTTCACTGGCATTGTTTCTAACAACTAAAAGTCCAGCAATAGGAAATGGATTAACTAAAAAATGAGACTTTTAGTCCAAGGTATTACAGTTATCAGAAGAATGCAGTTGATGTGGAGATATCTCCATGATAGGTCTGAAAAAAATGCAAGCTGCATAGCTATTCTATGATTTGTTACCATCACTGCATGTAAGTTTGTCAGTGTATGTAAAAATACAAAAGGACATACACCAAAATTATATTGTGATTATTTCTAGAATAAGCTAGAATTGACAAGAGTGGGATGACAGTAAAAGGGAATTTTCACTTTTGACTCTCAGTAGCTCTGCACTGTTTTAAGTTTGCAATGAAAATGTAGTCCTGTGTTTAAAAGACTGCAAGTTCTCACCCAGCCGTGTGGTTCACATGCCTTTAACCTTCCATGAAGGTATTGGGGGGAAAGGGAGAAATCTGTAATACTTTCAACATTTATAAAGATAATTTTTTAAAAAAATGCAAGAATCACACAAAGGATCATAAAATCTCACAGTTAAAAACCTCAGTGATGTTCTGATTCAAGCCTCCAGAACTTCTGGAGCATAAGACAGGCAAAGGAAAAGGATCTGGACTAAGATACGGAAAGACACCCAACAGGAACAAACAAATTTAAGCCCCCAACTTTTAGTGCACCATTTGGCTGAATCCTGGGAAGATCAGGTTATTCGTGATTTTTAAACTGTGCAAACAAAGAATGCTGTTTTACTTTCAACCTTGTCAACATTTATTGATTCTTTCAGACTGGGCACAAATGTTGCCTCTCTTTAAATAAAGTTAACTTTAAATTACCAAATTAATTCTAGCAAATTTTTAGACAGTACATAGGCAAAAATAAACAATCAAAACAACCTGCAGTCCTACCACCTAGATATAGCCACAGTTAACATTCACTTCCTTCCTTTCATCCTTCCGCCCTTCTTTTACAAAAAATACCACTGTGGTAGAAAGTTTTGTAAACTACTACTTTAAACAGTATATTGTGAAAGGTTTTCCATGTCATTACATTTTCCTCAAGAACATCTTTTTAAATTACTACATAATCTGAAAAACAAGAACAACCTTTTACTGAGGTACTACGCTAAGTATTTTATTTATAAGATCTCAATCTTCAAAGCAAGCTTCATCCTCCCCCCCCCCGCCCCCTAAACACCCCCCCAAAAAAGCCTTAGCTTGGCGTGGGGGGAAATGTTGGTTGGGGTTGGGATTTACACCCAGGTCCATCTAACTCAGAACTGTGAATTCTTGACCACCATAATGTCCCCTGGTAAAAATAGACCACAGCTCCTTACACCAATCTCCAGTTGCCAGTCCATTTAATCGTTTCTAACTTCTCTCTATCATATACAGTGCTACAGACATCCCTGCAGCCACCCCTTTCTGCCCCCTCCCTCCGGGCCAGAAACTTCCTAACTGGCCTAGGCCTAGGCAAACTCTGCTTCTCAAACCACCTGCACCTTTTTGTTTTCAATCTATCGCAAGTGCATGGGCTTCGGTTCGATTCCCGGCCCTGGTCAGGCAAGTTGGGGAGGCAACCAATCAATGTGTCTCTCACATCAATGTTTCTCTCTCTCTCTCTCTCTCTCTTTCTCTCTCTCTCTCTCTCCTACCCTCAACTTTTCCCTCCCTCCTACTCTAAGAGGAGGACATAGAAACCCACACCTGAAACCTATATGATCATGTTGACCAAAGTACCCCAATAAATTTAACTTAAAGAAAAAAGAATCAATGGAAAAAAAATATTCTCTGGTAAGGGGAAAGAAGGAAGGAAGGAAGGAAGGAAG